TGCAATGTACCACGTGACCGAGGACCTCTCCCGAGTGCGCCGATTCGGGCGCTGGCAGTCGGACGCGTTCCACGGCTACCTGTGGGAGTCGCACGAGCCGATGAAGGGCATCTCCGGCAAGATGGCCAGGGACAACTCCTCGTTGACCAACACGGCGAAGGACAGCGCCCCCAGCCAGAGGCTGCCGCCCGCGCCGAGAAGGCTGCCAGGCGCGAGACCCATGAGAAGGGAGCAAGCAGAAACTCAAAAAACACAAAAAAAACAGAACAAGACAAAAAAACAACAAAAACAAAAGCCCAAAAAAAAAAAACACAGGAACAAACAAAAAATAATAAGCGGGCAGCCCGCCCGGATGCTTACGCACCTCAGGACGTGCGACCCAACACCAAAGCGCCGGCATTCACCAGCCGTGCGTGCTTGGGCGCACCACCCAGCCCCCACCTGCCACGCCGGCCTCAAGTAGCCGCGCGCCATCGCAGGGATAACACCCTCCCGTGCACTTCATACACTGGCGAATATAATACCTTCCCTGCAAAAGCGACATGCTGCAGGTTACCCCCCGGTCCGCCAGAGGGCCCCACTAGTGCCTGGGATACTGTGGGTCCCCTTGCAGCCCTGGACGAGGATCGCGCTGGAACCCGCCTGGCGCGCCGGCTCTCCATGCCAAGCCTGGGCGTGCCGGGCATACTGGCGCCAGCTGTGCTACAGTAGCTGGCAGTCTGACGGCCCGGGTGGCCGCAGCGCTCGAATTCATGCGCAGGCGCGGGCCCGCACCCCAGCGCCGGCCCGGGGAACCCCCTCTGTCAGGGGCCGGACCCTGCCCGCCCCGTGCACTTTGGGCACTTGCGAAGGCGGGGAGCCAGGAGATCTGGAGGCCGCGGCGCAGACGGGGACGCCAAGTGCCGGCCCGCGCCAAGCGCCAGCGACGACACCCTCGGGCCTCAGCCCGAGGTCGGGCTCCGCCGGCAATCAAGGTACCGGCGCGAGCCCAAAGCCTAGCCTCACGGAGGACAGCCGCGCACGCCGGCATCAGTTGCCTGGCGGCAGTCGGCAGACAGAGGGCCCGTCGGGCCCTCACGCGCACGCCGGCGCACACGCCAGGCGATGCGTGACTCAGTGCCTAGACGGTGCCGGCAACACAACGCCTGGCACCCAGTTTTGGCGACGCCCATCAGGGCGCCCACACAGCACGCCGGCGCGTAGAACCCGCCAGGCGGCCAGTGTGCGGGGGCACTGGCAGCAGCACCCGTATCATAGAACAAAGGCGGCGAGGCCCGCTTCGCGCGGCGGAAGGAGGGACCCGCCTGGCGCGTCACCGCCGGCGGGAGGAGCGCGCGGCCAGCGCAGCAGCAAAATGGGGGGGGGCTGCACCGCTGCCGCCATCATCGCCATCGTCTCCTGAGGGCCCGCCTCAACCGCTTCGCGGCTGGCACGTCCCGCAGCGCCACCGGCGAGGGGGCAGGAGCAGCAGGTCGCGGAGGACAGAGCGGCGGAGGACGCGGGCGCGCCGTCGCCGCGTGGCCAGGGCACAGGCGCGGCCTCCAGCGCCCCATCACCTGCGGGCGCCGCGCAGATCGGCTTCGGGGACATGGCGGTGGATGATGATGATGATGATGAAGCGCCTTGAAAGGTCGGTCCTCCCAAAACACAAACCTGAGAAGCCACCAATACGCCAAGTGCGCACGGCAGAGAAAGAGGGAAAAGGGAGGAGAGGCAGGAGAGGAAAGAAGCGGAGAAAAGGTAAAGCCCAACCCAGGATTGAAACCCATGATACTGAAAGAAATCATGAATGACAGACTGTCCAATATCCCAAATGAATCCCACCACTAGGTCCCTCTTGTGTTGAATGAAGATGAGAAACATAATGAAAGAGGTGCCCAAATTTGACTAACAAGGTCTTGAGTGACAATTGGGACCCAACCTTGGAAACACATGGTCCCAAGGTCTAAAGTAAGTATGAGGTGAAGAAAACTTCCATTAAATCCCATGAAACCCATTGAACATGGGTAGTGGTCAAGGCTGATATATATATATATATATGACTGAAAGAGAATCTGAAAGATAAAATTGAATGTCCCAAGCACGCAATGAACCCAGAAGATACGGAGGCACACAAAGATGAACTGTCAAGGCAGAATGAGATCCCAACCATGAGAACCCACACCATGCATGTCGAGGAATATGGAATATGGGTGAATTCGAACGAATATGGAGAACGCAAGTTGGCTGGAAATGTTTATAACCTTTTGTATTTGCAAACCAACAACGTAGAAATACATGCAAGAGAGATTGAGAGAGACTGAGAGTCCTCCAAAGCCGCAGGCCCACGCACCGCTGACAACAGAAGATTCTAGTCTGAGGGAGTCCCAGGAATGCTCTTCAGCCGTACCTCCAATGCCACTTTTCCACGAAGAAATCTCCATCCCACCAGTAATCGGACAAGTACCACACAACTGGGTGAGGCCAGCCCGAATCGGGATCGATCCACGTGTCAAAGTACTCCGTATTCCATACTTTGGTGTAGACTTCGTCTACTTCGCAGTAGTTCCACATTCCGCCCGAGCCGCGTGTCCACTTGAGACGCTTCTTGGCGGCAAGCTTGACTGGGGGGCTGCGTTTAGCCATCCCCTGGAGTTGGAGGTTTCCCAGCCGTCTCAGACAAGAGCTCCAGTAAGGATTTGAGGCGAAACGGCTACTGACCCGCAACAAATTCTGTCCAAGGAACTCTACGAACCCTTTCATCGGGACCCCGAACGTTGACATACAGACCATGATAGCCGCTGTCCCGACAAGCTTTGAAGAACGGGATTTTGCACCAGTCATATGTGAAATGAGGACCACCAAGGCCCGACGGTATAAGAAACCGAGCCGGCAACTTGACCACCCTTTGGAATAGTAGCGGGGAGCAGTATGAAAGTGCCTCAAGATCTCGTTTAGACAGGAAGCAGACTTTGCGTTTAGACCTGCAAAGCTTCCCCTGAAAGATAACGTAAGGATCCGAAGCCGTGGGATGTAGCATACCGAAAGCTTGAGCCCGAGACTGCGGGAGCCGACAGGAGGCATGAGGAGGGAAGGGGCCCATCCCCCCAAACCCAAGGGAGGAAAACAGACGCCGAGGCCCAAAGACTCAGAGGCATCCTGAGGAAGGAAGGATTGTTGCGAAGCCACGGTATCCCTAAGTTCGAATGGATCGAGCGGGTCCCAGATAGAATCGCACAAGTGACATCTCCTGGTGTCAGCCAATCCACTAGGTGGTAGGCAAAGGAAGAGAGGAGATCCCAAAGGGGTCTCGATTCAGACCCAAATGCAAATTCCGTGAGGCGTCAATTGCCCCGGCTCCACTAAGAAGATACAAAAAAGAAAAACAAAAGAAAAAAAAACTAAAAAACAAAAAAAAAAAAACATACTAATAAAAAAACAACAAACAAATAGAGGAAAAAATAAAAATGGCCCTGTTTCTCTGAGGCCGCAATTAGGTAAGATACCCATACCTCTGAGGATTCCGTAACATTTAATTTGTGCACTTGCATTCCGTGAAACATTGCCACGGCAAACTTCCGAGTGCGAGGTGCACATGGGCCGCGAAAAAGGCGACGGTCTTTCCCGGTCCTAGCACCAGACCATTTGAAATCGACCAACACGTCGTCAAAATTGACCGCATGGAGCAGATGATCGGAAGATATCCCCTGAATTATGTTCCAAGAACCGATCTGGGTCCACATAACCCCGCTCTCCAACCCAAAAAAAACAGACCAGAGCAGAGAAACAAAAAAACAAATCAAAAACAACAAAAAAGACAACATAAACAAAAAAAAGAAAAAGCAAAAAAAAAAAAAAGAAAACAAAAAGAACAAAACAAAACAAAAAGCAAAAAAAAAAAAAACGTTAACAAAAACAAAAAAAAACAAACAACAACAGAACAAACAGTAAAAAGCTCCATCAAATCTCCAATAAGCTCTAGCCATCGAGAAGTGTCGGGTTCCCTATTCCACCGCTCGCGGACCATCCTCTGTACATCGGTGACACGACCAGCGACTGAGCGAAGCACCTCCATGGATTTGGACGAGGCCCTGGTAGGTTGTCGTCTTTGAAGATACCTGGCCATTTGACCCCAAATATTCCACCAGACTGTGTAAATGAAATTCCCAGGGTCCGACCAGCGATTGTCGTAGAACACTGCGCCTTTGTATGACATTGTCTTGATCTGTACAAAAGACATAGAGCGCACTGCGATTCCCACGATCCCAATAAGGTTCTTGCATGCCTCACTTGAGAAGAATTCCTCAAAGAGATTCTATAGCTGCCTGAGAGGTATCTCGAATTCGCGCCCCTTCTCATACATGTGGAGTGTGACGCATTTCCGTGGGTTGTATGAACCTGAATTTACAGGAACGATCTCGGAACTTTCGATTGCCAGTGCACGTGGGCAGGCGGATGCCCATGCCTCGAAGACACAACACTGGAGGGACTTTGAATTCCATGGCCTGACGACCCTCTGAGGGGCAAGCATGAGAGTGTGTTCCCAGGTAACTTGAGAAGGGGTTGAAGCAGAACGAGGTAAGCGGATTGAACCAAAATGACTACAGAAAAGCACCAGGACACCAAGACAACCGACAGATGTGGATCCATTAGATGGCGAGACAGGGATGAGAGATACACTTTATCAGGGATCGGACGGCAGTCATCGTCCTGGCCAACGAAGTGAGATTAACAATCCCAGGCCAAACCCATTTGTACTGAGGTGAAGAAGCAAACTAAGCGCCAAACGACCCCGAGTAGAAACTTGTCACTTCGAGGCCTTGGGCAAAGAGCGAGAAACAACCCCACTTGGCCCCGACAACCGAATTGAGAAGAACCTGATACAATCCCAGCTCATGAGAGATGACCTGAAGGCCCAATGGAATGAAGCACTTGTAATCCCATGAATTCCCAGATTGAACCGAAAGTCATCATCCTGGCAAAAGTGATGAGATTAACAGGACGAGGACGAGGACGACGAGGGGATCTGCTTCGGCACGGCGACCCCGGTTCTGAACGACGGCAGCTCCGAGGCGCGCAGCAGCGATGAGGAGGTGCCGGACGCTGCGATGCTGAACGAGTTGATGGAGAGTGCGAGGCAACATACCATCGCGGAGAGCGACGCGCATTGGATCTTCGAGGTGGAGGCGGACGCGGACCCGGACGACGACTCCAAGGACGCGGCGGGCGGAGTGGAGAAGTTCTTCGACGTAGAGGCCGACAAGGGCGAGAGCGACGGCTCCGAGAGCGCCGAGAAAGACAGCTACGTGGACGAACATGGCAACGTAGAGGTCGGGGCGACAGGAAGGGAGATTGGCTCGGGAGGAATACCGATGGGAGAAGGCCACGCATGCTGGGTCAGAGACCAAGGGCGGCCGCCTTGCCCAGGAGCAGTTGTTTCGTTTTCGGGGATGTCGCTGGGGCCGATGAGGGCTACATTGCCGACTGGCACTCATCGTGAGTCCTCCCGAGCGAATCCCCCAGTCCTTGTGTCCCATGCAAAGGGGCTGATACATGACAGCGACGGCGTTGAGAAGCGGGTTGACAGCGACGTGCTCATGGCGGAGAAGAGCCACGCGGTTTCTGCTGGGGCGGAGGAGGCGCCGCCGCCGCCAGAGCCGCATCCGGCAGAGCGGGTTCGGCGGCGCATCACAGGCAAGCGGGCTCTCCAGGTTGTGCAGGAGCAGGGGCCGGCCCTGGCTCACGTCCGCGTTGCAGCGGCGGCCCCCATGAAGCGGCCGGCGAAGAAGCGGTTTCAGTGCCACGTGCGCCCGTGCCCGACATGCATGTTTTCGATGGTCGCACCAGGCGCGGCGGCGCAGACGAAGAAGAGAGAGCTCTGTGCGTTCTGCTCTCCAGAGACAATGAGGAAGGCTTTGTCGGAGCCTCGCGGTCGCGGCAACGTCACCCGATCCCTGCGGGCTTTCCTGCAAGCGGATCGCCAGGATGCGTTCGACGTGGCGCTGCAGCGGTTGCCCAGCGACGAAGAGAGGGACAAGTTCAGGAAGGCTTTGAGGCGCGAGACGCGGAACAAGGATGCCGCTGCGCAGAGCAGCCAGGCCGACAAGCGCCAGCAGGAGAAAGTGGGGAGACTTCAGTCTCTCATGAATAACCGCGTCGCAGTGACTCCAGCGCCCACCGACGAGCAGCGGGCGGACTACGAGGAACACGTCAAGGACGACGAGAGGCGGTTCAAGAATAAGTTCAAAGCTGTGCAAGAGGCGCGGGACCGGGAGGACGACTCGTGGCGCTCGGAGGCGGCTGTGAAGCTGGAGCAGTGGTGCCGGCAAGGAGCCTGGGTACAGCGCGAACAGTGCAAGCGCATGGAGAAGCGGCATCTACGACCCGTGGACATAGAGGGCCGGACGCGCACTTGGACGATTCCGAAATGCAAGCACTGCAAATCGGACGTGGGCTACACGACAGATTCCTTGGAGGACATCCCGACGGTGCTCCGCCAGCTGCCAGGAGGACGTTTTGTGGGCTTTGCGGCCCCTGGAGCCTTTCTGCGGCGAGTACGTCCAGGCCCAGCATCGGTATCGGGTGCACACGGACATGATTCGATTATGGTGGCGCCCTGTCTCCGTGTCCGAGCAGATTAACCAGCTCAAGCACCGAGAGCAGCGCAGCCGTGCCCGCGAGGCGTATGAATTCCTCATGGCGTCCCA